TCCTCCTCCTCCTCCTCCTCCTGCCACCCCCAGCATGCCCTTAATACTGTTATCATGTGTTCCTGACCAGGACCTGGGAGACATGCTACACGACCTGAGCCTGTTACAGAGAAAGGACCGTCGGCGCAGACAGAATGTTGTCGCTGACCTGCCCGTGAGTGACCCCTTGCCTTGCACCCGGAATGTTTAAATTCTAGGGATGCCGTGTGTCCGTTATTTCTGTTATCTTCACCAGGAGAAAACTTATTAGTGTCCGTTATTTTTGTTATTTTCGTCAGTAAAACACATATTGGTGTCCGTTATTTCTGTTATTTTTGTCAGTAAAACACATATTGGTGTCCGTTATTTCTGTTATTTTCGTCAGTAAAACATGTATTGGTGTCCGTTATTTCTGTTATTTTTGTCAGTAAAACACGTATTGGTGTCCCGTTATTTCTGTTATTTTCGTCAGTAAAACATGTATTGGTGTCCATTATTTCTGTTATTTTCGTCAGTAAAACACGTATTGGTGTCCGTTATTTCTGTTATTTTCGTCAGTAAAACATGTATTGGTGACCGTTATTTCTGTTATTTTCGTCAGTAAAACACGTATTGGTGTCCGTTATTTCTGTTATTTTCGTCAGTAAAATACGTATTGGTGTCCGTTGTTTCCTCAAATTTTCTTTGGAAGAACTTTTATTGTTGTCCGTTATTTCCGTTATTTTCACCAGTAGAACAGTGTCTATTATTTCTGGGTTTTTTACCAGTAGAACGCTTATTAATGTCCTTTCTTTCTGTTAATTTCATCAGAAGAATGCTTATTAGTGTATGTTATTTGTTATTTTCACAAGTAGAACTCTTTTTAGTGTCCATTATTTCTGTTGCTTTCATCGGAAGAAAACGTGTTAGTGTCCATTATGTCCGTTATTTTCATCCGAAAAATACTGGGTGTGGGTTAACATTTTTACTTCTTGCATCTATTTTTTTTTTACAAGAAATGTTGAAAATGGCATTCGTTATGCAATTTTTTTGTTCCCAAAAAATTGATGTGAATTATTAGAAGCTTTTAAGAAAACTGAGTTGAATGTTGCGTTACAAGCTGCTGTCCACTATGCTTCCCAGAAACTATTTTATTTTGTATTGGTTTTGGGTTGTTTTTTTTTCATTTCTATACCTTTTTTTAAAATAGAAAAATATATATATACACAATTGATACTGCATTATATACATTTGTCATATAAATATATGCTAGATGTAATATACTTTCCCACACTTGTGAGGTTGACAAGTGCTCTGATGTGGTTTGCTCCTTCTTTACTATCAAAGTTCTATTGTCCTTGTCTCTCCTTCTTTTCTTTGTATGATGTAACTTCTTTGATCTTCAGCATTTAAGTGACCTAATTGTGTGGCAAGTGCTATAAAAGGCTTACTAAAACCTAAAACAAACTTTCACATACCTTGCCAACCCATTAGTGCATTAGGTAATATTGCAAATATTTCGTGGATCTGCAGTGTAGATGTCTTTTTTATTTGGTTTGTTTTGTTTTGTTTTTTAAGAGTGTGTAAATCATTGTCCAAGGGTAGATGGGGTTTGAATTATATGATTGTTAGATCAGAATTTCCACTTCATGTCTTTGATTAAGAATTAATTCAAATTGTTCAGAAACAAGTGTTTATCCCACCGGAGAGATGCATGGAGGAGAGAGACGAGAGAGAGCTGGAGATGGAGCGACGGTTTGATGAGATCTACATGCAGCAACACAGTAAGTTCTGGCCATGCTCCACCCCCACCACTGCTCTGCCGTTATTGTTAAAAGTACAGAATATGAAGTTTTTAGTTTTACAGGAGAGCCAAAAAACTTAATGTTGTTACCGATAAAACACCTTTTTCTTTAAAGATGATCAGGAAGTTTACTACCTAATTTGTTGGGTTTTTTTAATCATAAGCACACTAGTCTTGGTTCACATTTGGGCAATCTGTTTATTATTCTCTAATTTTCTCCAGACTTAATAAAACTGATAAGCACTTGTGGAATCATGCTGAGGTCATTTAAGCTGTCTACCCATTCATCTCTATGGCACCCATATGTGAAACATTATGGTGAAATCAGGTGCTTGTCAAAATTATTAAATCGAAGAAACCAACTTTAAATTTTAGATTTTGGCTCAGCACCTTTCTGTTTATTTCATAAAACATTTCGGTGTGGATTTTTCCAGTCTTGATCAAAAACACAAAAAATGTAAATTTGCGATTTTCAAGACCACTGAATCTTTGGAAGTCACCAACTTTGGCAGCCATTTTTTTCGTCAATTTTATTTCTGACTCCAGGGGACCTCCATCTCTTTCAGTCTCATATATTTCAACTTCTATTGAAGGCAGATAGGTATTTCTTTTTTTTCAGCAAAAGCATGACAAATGAACAGGCTGAAACAAATAACTCTATATACCCCATAATTGACAAATGCCTAATTCCACCACGTCTTGACTCATTTGTGTTCCCCAGAGCTAGAGGCTAATCAAGTGCGAAGCTTCGACGTCTCAGATTACCCCTCTGGCCTGGAGTCCTCAGGGGAGACGAGCCTGGATGTGGGTGCTTCCAGACTAGCTGAGCAGATCCCACTGTCTCGCATCAACCCTGCCGTGAGAGAGCTGAGCAGACAGCCTGCGTCGGAGGATGGCAGTAGCGTGAAACCTCCTGGTTAGTGGATTATTTCTGTTTTTGTCTTTCTCTCATGCCATTTTTTTCTCTCTATCTGTCTCTGTCTCTCTCTCTCTCTCTCTCTCTCTCTCTCTCTTTTTCCTTATTTTCACATCTTTCTCTAACTCTTCTCTCTCTCTCTCTTTCTTATCTCTCTTTCTCTCACTCACTCTTTTCTCTCATTTTCACACTCTGTGGGTGATTGGCGGATGCTCTGGTATAGTTTGCTTATTCTTTCCAATCAAACATCTATTGTCCTTATCTCCCCATCTTCTTTATGTTTGTTACTCTCTTGTAACACCTCTAATCTTCTGGCGCTCATATGACCTCATGCAGTTGCGAGCATCTTAAATCCTCTACTAAAATATTTCCCGCTCTTTTTTCTCTGTCTGTCTGTCTGTCTACAGTCTACATCTCTAGTTTTATTCCCCATGACATTGTGGTGAGGGAGGAGAGAGTCACTGAACCATCTTGGTTGAAGACTTATGAGCCGAGCACCTGCCCCTAATCTGTCTGTGTACATTGTTTGGGGAAGGGAGTAGACTGCTATCATCACTATCTTGTTATCTTGTTAGACAAAAGGAGATAAACCAAGGTTGTTTCATCCCCCCCCCCCTTTCCTTTGTATTGTTGTATTGATGGTCTGTCCTGTCCTGCCTTGAACTCTGGTGGTCGTTCTATGGAGTTTTCAAGGCTTTTAATCATATCGGCTGGGCTTGACCGTAGATTGACATTAATTCGGAAGTTGTTCAGCATCTTAAATGACCTAATTGGATTGAAAGTGGCCTTAAAAAGTTGCACTGATAAATGGCTTCCTTGGAAATACAAAGTTCTGTCTAACATTTTTGGGTGTTTTGAGTTGATGATGAGGTCAGAAACCAAATGTTCTATCTGCTCTATCAAAATTGTACGATTATTTGGAGTTGTTATCAAGATATTCAAAGCATAGCTTTTGAAAAAGCTTGATATGTTGTGAAACTCAAATTTTACATCACATTTCTCAAAACTAGGTTCTGAACAGATAAAACTTTGTAATTCTAAGGTAGCGACATGTTACTAAAAATGGAATCTGTCCTCCTCATCACAGACACAGTGCTGAAGCAGCTGCTGACCAGGATCAAGGAGCAGCGGAGTGGTTCCGGCGCCGGGGGCAAGAGGCCCGGACTGTCCGTGCCATGGGACGGTGGTGGTGGTGGTGGGGACGCAGCGGGGGACAGTCTGTCTGCCAGGTCCGGGGAGAGTCGGGCTGAATGGCAGCGGGCGCCGGCACATCAGGGTGAGGGCTTATATATATATATATATAGAATGGTCAGTGATGTATTAATGTAGATGATTTTTACACCCCCATTGACACAATTTAGATCATTTAGATGACGGGCTTCTCTACCTGCATGTCGGGGCTAACCCGGATTGAGAGGGATACAGCATCCCGGCAGAAAGACCAATGTACTCAATAAAGATGATTGGTAATGTATTAATGTAGATGATTTTTACACCCCCATTGACACAATTTAGATCATTTAGATGACGGGCTTCTCTACCTGCATGTCGGGGCTAACCCGGATTGAGAGGGATACAGCATCCCGGCAGAAAGACCAATGTACTCAATAAAGATGATTGGTAATGTATTAATGTAGATGATTTGTGCGCCCTCATTGACGCAATTTAGATCATGTAAGAGGTGGGCTTCCGACCCTGCTTGTTGGGGCCCACCCGGGCTGAGAGGGATACAACATCCAAGCAGAAGGGCCGATATACTACTCAATAGAAATTTCCTCCTCATACGTGAATTGCTCAGAAGTCCTGCTTGTACAGCAAAGTGCCTAACCGCTACACCACAAACATCGGTGAATGATTGAAGTAGTTGTAATAAATGGTTTACACCCTCATTGACCCAACTTAGTTCTTTGGGGAGAGAGGCATGACTGTAATAAATGTTTTCCATCGCCAACCCAAATTGGATCTTTTAGGAGATTGACATGATTGTAAAAACTCCTTTACACCCTTACTGAACCAACTTTGTTAGATCTTTCTGGAGATTGGTGTGATTTTAATCAATCTTTTACATCCCTATCAACCCGACCCAAATCATTCTACAGAGTGGCATGATTGCAATAAATGTTGCACATCCACAACTCAACTTATAATTTTCAGGAGAATGGCTTGATTGCTATGAATGTTTTATGCCTCTATCAGCCCAACTTATATCTGGCATTGGAATTCAGATTTGGAGCCCCCCCGCCCCACCTTCTCAAATGATCTTATTAGGGTTGTGAAGGATGTAAAACATATATATAATTTCTGTTTCCTTTTTGTTCAGCTTTAATAACCTGCCCTTTTATCGACGTGCTTCTCTTTGGTTCTAACACACTTACAGAAGTTCCCAAGGGGTTGGAGGAAAAGACTCCCGAGCACAGCGCGATAGATCTGGGTTTCAGCCCTGATGGAATCTCATCGAGCCTGTCTGGGGCCGACTCTGTTGCCATGGACAACAACGAGAGGATGATTGAGGAGCTGCGACGGAGGATTGAACTCATAGAGTAAGTTGGGAGGGAGATGTGGCTGGTTGCTGGCCGAAGTGTTTGTGCCTGCTCACTTTGATGTAACACCTCCTGATTTATTTCTTCTTTTTTTTAATTTTTTTAAAAATAATATTTACTTATATATATATTTATTTATTTAATATCTTTTTTTTTCACACTTAGGTGAACACAGGCAAAATGTGGATTCCTGATATCCGGATATTCCACGTTATACATTTTAAAAATCATCTTGATATGAGATGAATTAGACAATGATGCATACATTTTGAGCCCCCGGGTGCATATTTAAGCCTCTGAAAAGTTCAGGATTTATTTGATTAATAGCCAGTTGGGTAAACAAACTGATTTTTGCACTCAAAGGCCACACAGACCATTCATCAAGAAAATTGTAGTATTAACAAGTGCGCATGTCATAAAGGAGGTCATTCCTACGTCTTTGTTGCTATATATCACACCTTCTACGGTCGTCGTCCCATGTTGAAAAAGGACGGCTTCTCAACTTCGCCGATCGGCCTCCCATGTGGGCAAAGTGTTAAACTCTCTTTCTGGTGTTATGATACACATTTTTGGGGGGGAGGGAATTCCAGATTTTTTAAGAGAAGACCACTCGACTGCCACCCAAGCAAAATGAGAAATGAAAAAAAATTTCTGCCAAAATAAAATGTCCCTATCTCAGCTAAAGAGAAGATGAAAAACCGACATAGTCAATTTAAGAAAATTGTAGACTCATAACTTGATTTCTGCTTGAAAATATAGGTGTTTTTATACCCCCATCAAACCAATTAAAATTTAAATCATTTTGGAGGTTGGCACCTGCCAACCTGGACCGGGAGGGATACAATGTACCAACAGAAAAACTGAGATACCTGATACAAATTTGCCCCACTCAGGAATAGAGGTTGGGTCTCCTGCATGGGACAGTGAAGCACCCAACCCCTACACCAAAGACACCGGTATTTCAGTTTGACAGGTGATGTGTTATTATTTTTTGTTGAATGGGAAGTCAAACTATTATAATTATTATCGACAGACAGTTGAACGGAAATGTTGTTATGAGTCTACAAGCTCTTAAAATTGACACCCTCATGATTTCCAGTTTGTGACTATCTTCTTCGTTTTTCCCCTGTGCTCTTCACCTGTAAATGATGACAGACCCTGACACCTTGCTTGTTTCCAACCTCATTGATCATATCTCTCCTTTGGAGCATATCAAGGAAGTCAAGATCTGAAGGGAATGAAGTTGTGCTTGGGCAATCTACTTCTTCCAGGTCTACTACCCAAACAAAGCTATACCATGCACACTGCTTTAATTATTCTTACTATTATCATTTTATTATTATTATTATTATTATTGTTATTATTATTACAACAATTTGTGTCTTGCGTCTGTCATGTTCCAGGTCTGAGAAAGCCCGAGTTTCCCAGCAGTACAAATCCCAGGTCGACAAGTTGACCTCCGTGATGAGTCCGTTTGGAGGCGAAGATTTGGCTGAGAGTACGCTGAGGGAGGTGGATATCGACACCACGCATGAGAGCGAGGCCAGTGGCAAGGGGGGGCGCTCAGCCACTGGGGAGCTCAGCGAAAGAGAGATGTTCACAAGAGTGCTGCCCCCTGAGGTCATGTCTCCCGATGATCTGGCCAACGCGGCTGCCAATCTGAGGCCGATCACGGGAATTCTGAAAGGTGTGAAGAACACGCAGTATGAACTGATGACGTCTAATGGGTTCCTGCCTGTGCCAGAGACGTACGGGGTTCACAAAACAGATGATGATGATAGCATAGAAAATAAGGAGAGTAGGCGGGGGCTCACAACTGATTTGGATCACGTAGGGGACTGTAAATCCTTTGACAAGATGCAGGGTTTAGATTTTGGGCAAGGTCTAGCTCAGGGTGAATATGGTATGGGTCATGTTGATAGATATGATGACAGCCTCACTCCATCTCTTCCGTCTCAGTTACCTGCTGGGTTTAGCTTGAAGGTTGGTCTTAACACACTCTCTAATCAGCCCCTTGTGTCGCGCGGGACTCAAGGAGAGGCATTGGAGTTTGGCAGAACTCAGCCCGGCCTCTCAGCTCAGGCTCAGTGGTTGGGCTCGTCCGGTCCTAGGATTGGAACGTCGGGAGATCCGGATCTGTCTCGGAAAGTACGGGAGTACCAGGAAAACGCTAGGCAGCGTCAGCTCAATTTGGACGAGGAGACCCTTCGTAAGGTGCGGGAATATCAGCAGCGACTTCTCGACACGGATGCTCAGAGGAAGCAGATGCTGTCGGACATCCGAGCAGACATAGAGCAACGACGCGGGGAGCTCTTCTCATCCCAGGCCTCGTCCTTATCCCGCGCCAGTCAGAAGATGTACCAGACACTCGCAGAACAAGGGCAGCAGACGGTGAAGCAACAGGGAGAGGATGCGATATCTCAACGACAGGATGCGTTGAGCTCAGGGAAGTCTTCCAATCTGTCCGTACGATACGATCCAAAAACGTGGGAGCCCATCAAACCCTTTATCGCTGATGAACGCACTCAGGGAAAAGGATTAGTCTCCCCTCGTAAAGATGCAGATGCAGTTACCTCGGACATTCTGCAGAGAGACCCTCACAAGGATGTAGACTTTTCTTCACAGTGGGCCGAAGGAATTATCAGTCGCAGCGGTCGTGCTGGATCAACAGACAAGATCCGCAAGTCTCTCATCTTTGATGACCTTGAGCGTTCCGGCATACAGAGTCCTGCCACATCCTGGAAGGACGTCCTAAATGAGACATCGGCAACAGCCAATGAGTCGCACCTGGTATCCAGTGAGGAGGACAGAGGCAGCCCTATCCTGGCCACATCAGGCTCTGCAGGCCGACCAGAGAGCTCAGAGGACAAGTCCAACAACTCTGTCACTGGAAGTTCCTCCCTCAACGGCTCGGTGCTGGTGGCCCGCGCAGAGGAACGCCGGCTGGGCTTTGAGCGCCGCCAGCAGGAGCTGAGGGAACAGCTGGAGGAGATCCAGCAACAGAAAGACTCCATCCTCAAACGCTACCAGGACGGGCAGAGAGCCCTGCAAAGGCAGCAGGAAGAGCTACGGAGCAAGCTGTCGCACGCCACGTCGCAGGATGCCACTCAGGCAGGAGAACCCTCAGCTGAGCAGCAGCGCATTCGAAAGAAATTAGCAGAAGTGAATTCCCAGTTGGGTATTGACCCACCGTCTTATTCTCATAGGCGAGAAAAAGACGGTAAAAACGATGAGGGTGCAGTGAAAAGTCTGAAGGGGTTGAGATCAACGGAAGAAGGTAACTCTAGCCGCGGAAGCGACGGGGGCACAGGTAGCAGTGGCAGTGTCGGCGTGGCAGACGTGTCCTCAGAGTCCTACCTGGAGGAAATCTCGTACCAGCGCATCAACTCCCCGCCCCCCGCAGGCCAGGAAGATAAAGCTCTGCCCAGTTCGGCTTTCACCCGGTTGTCTAGCTCTGATACTGCTGGACGACGGGACCTCTCGTTCCCGATGGTCAAACCGTCTTCAGAGTCAGCGACCGATGCACGGCTGCAGACATGGGCCTCTGTGTTGTTGTCCTCCTCCAGTTCAACGGATAGTCAAGGCGCAGTCTTGGAGAAAAAGGTCGGAAAATTGCCGCAGACAATGGGATTCTCTACTGGAGCCACAGAGGCTAATCGGTTTTCCAGAACGTCTGTTGAGGAGAAAGCTGATGCTAGTGATTGTCGGGATGATGATTTTTGGTCAAAGCAGAGAGAAGCTGTACAGTCCGTCTCACATTCTCAAACTGTTGATGTGAGTAAAGGGGCCCAGATCACCGACTCACAGTCGTCATTGTCATCCGGGCCCTGGTCTCAAGTCTTGATGGAGCATCGACCGCACGAGCTGAGCACTATTCTGGAGGTGGACACGCCCACCAGCTCGGCGAAAGGCTCGGTGGTCAGCCGCTCGGCAGCAACCTCTCACTCCCAAGGTCAAACACAAGGTGCGGTGTCTGTTAGGACGAGCAGTAGCCAGAGTTTGTCATCGGCGGGCAGCCAGCAGGATTTGGGGTTGTCGTCATTCCTCCATGGAGGCCATACCTCTGGCGCCAGAATGGATGTCTTCCCAGATCTGCCCTACACTTTCCCTCAAGGCACAGCAGCCGCGGCTCTCTCTCAGGGCGGCACCGGGGGTGCTTATGATTTAAGTGGTCAGAAAAACACCCCGACAGAGCTCCCCCAGACTGGCCCGACTCACCGAGCCAAGCGTTCCCTCGACTTCTCCTCTCAGGAGGTACCAGCACGCTCTTTGCTTGGGGAGTATCCGGAGCTAACAGCAGATGAGGACATTTTCCACACACCGATGCCGGCCCTCGTTGAGCTAACGCCTTTGAAGACAGCTGCGAAAATCCGCGAAAGCGTGGAGGCTGATAAGGAGAAGTCTTCTGTCTTTGCAGGCAGTCCTGGGGGCCTGGTGAGCTCTGGCTGTGAGGCGAGCGTGGACACGGACAACTCCAGTTTGCAGGTCTCTGGCTACAGTGAGTACTTGAGGGGCTACAAGACGCTGCAGGCAGACGCCGCTTCGGATGATCTTGAAACGACAGATTTGTCCTTGACCCTCAGTGCCGACCCTCTTAGGGTGACGGAGAAGAAGGAAGAGGAAGATATCCGAGATGTGGGCAGTGCGGGTGCTTATCGTCATAACCCTAGTCTTCAAGTGAGGGGGGAATCAGGCGTTGGGGTGTCGCAGCATCAAGGCTTGACCTCTGGCCTGAGTCTACGACAGGAAATTTCTGACACTTGTGACACGACAGACCCCTTTGACCTTCACGGCTCTTTGCCGTCGATGAGCCTGACAGAAGTCTCCATTTCCAGTGAAGAAGCAGAGAACCATGAGGATTAAATCAAAGTCTTGTCCTGCCTACAATGAGGCCTAGTCATTAAACAGCACAATACAGTGATAATAATGTAATAATATTAATAGCTCATCTGTCAGTGTCTGATGATGACCGATACATCCACTGGAGAGAATATTTCTTCAGCAAAAAAGAAGAATTCAAAGAATTAAAGGTTTCGATGACTTGTGGCTTCTGCTGTGGCCGATGAGACCAATTCTGGCAAAGAAAAGTTTGCCACTTTTTGAACATTCAAAAGCTCCACTTCCATTAATTGTGGATGTGCGCAGCTTGCGGGTTTCTCTCTTAAAGTGTGCTGAAATAAACATGAAGCTTTAAAGTACATCTTAGATAAATCCTTAGCCTGGGGCTTAATCATTATACAGCATGAAACTGTGAGAACACCTAAAATACACCTTCGCGCATAATAAGGCTCTGTAATTTTAGAGCAAAATACAGTGAACCGTACTTCGATAGAATCGTGTGTAATAAAACTTTTAGGTTTGTGTTTAGCAGGGTTCATATTTTCCCACTGTTTCAAAGGGAGTAACAAAACAAAGGAGGCATTCGTTTGGTATCAGAGAAGTGTATTCCTGCAAGTCAGTTTACTGTGAGCCCTCTATGATGCTTAGCACTTTGCAGTCACACAGCCAGCAGTACAAAATATCCCATCTGGTCACCCTTCCAGGAGAGCAACTGGAACGGACCTCTCGTGCGCTGCCAAGTGACCTCAAAATGTTAACCCCCAACCTGGCAGTGATATTGTAGTGCTGTCTGCTGAACATTTATGTTGATGTGGGCATCGGAGGTGGTACAGAAAGACAAAAGATTTAATTGATTTGAAAGCCAAGCTGTGATAAGATTAATATTAATTGATATTAATTCATTAATAAATGTGAGGCTTCATGGTGAAATCACGCGCTCGTCGAAATAATGAAATTGAAGAAATCTGCATTTTTTTGCCCATTTGTCTATTTTTATCTAATTTTCTTTATGTCCATTTAAAAACACATTTATGTGTGAATTTTACTGAAATACGTTGACTGAAAACACACAAAAATTTTAATTTGCAGTTTCCATGGACTTTCAAGCAATGGAAGTCACCAAATTTTGGCTGTCATTTTCTAGCCTATTTTACCTCTGAAATGAGAGGTGACCCTTATCTCCTTCAATCGCCAATATCTTCACTTCTGTTCTAGGTAGATGGATATTTTTTCATCAAAAGCAAGGCAAATGAACCGAAAAATTGACGAGCACCTGATTCCACTGCATCGTGACTCAAATATTGTAGTTTTTATATTTTTTCCTTTGTGGATGCATCCCAATTAGTATCAAAATCCCAGTGTTGATATTTTCGTGTGCCTGTTTAAATTATTTGTTTGACTGTACAAATTATTTTAAATTATGCAATGTTGAAAAAATAACAATAATATTACAATGTGCCCCGTTTGTTCATCCCTTTGAGGATGTTTGGGTTACTATATTGTGTACGATGTATACATAGAATAAGTCAGATCTGATGTTAACATCTCATTCATAGCCTATAATATCTCCCTAAATGACTGATACAGACGAGTTTATAAACTATATCTCTTAAAATGACCAATACAGATTAGTTTATAAACAATATCTCTTTAAAATGACTGATATGACTGATACAGAGGACAGAATATCACACTAAATGATTGATACAGACAAGTTTATGAACAATATCGCTGGCTGTTACAGTGCAGCACCTTGTATTTTCTAAAGTTTTAGACCTGGGTTATAATTCCACTGAATGCTTCCAAGGAAGTTGAGATTGTTTCAGAATGCTATCAGGTCTGCTGGGGTAATAGTAATAGTATAGATTCGTCGTCTATCACACCAAAGGGCGTATCCCTGTTTTCTTACTTTTTCAGGAGAACGATTTAAAGATTTTCAGACTTAGGTTGCTTTATCCTTTTCCCTTGTCATTATAGAAATTTGCATCCTACCATCGCAATATTTGGATATTGTGTGCATGATAAGATATCAAACAATCAGCAAGATTAGTTTTGCACTTTTTCTTTTTATTTCACTGCGAAAATGTGCCATCTGTGAGCATACGCCCTTTCGTGTGATTGTTCGACGTTTCGTCCTGTCCTAAATCAGTGTATACGCCCATGTATACGCCCTGTGTTTAAGTGTTCACACAAGTAATTTCAGTCTTCAGACTGACCAGTAGATGATAAAATTCCTCCTCACTCCCCCATCCACCCGCCAAATCTTCCCCTTTCTCTTTTCCTTCCCATACCTCTCTGTTCGTCCGTCCGTCTGTCTGTCTGTCTGTCTGTCTGTCTGTCTGTCTGTCTGTCTGTCTGTCAGTCCGTCTGTATCTTTCTCTCTCTCTCTCACACACACACACTCACACACACACACACATATACACACGCACGCACGCACGCACGCACACACACACACACACTCAGGTACTGGCATCACGTTTTAGAAAGACAAGCAGTTTCCTTTCGTTCCAATTCCAAATCTATTATTTAAAAAACAAAAACAAATTAGTGATGGATGCCACCATGCTTTGGTAGGCTCTCCTTGATCAAACATGTTTGTATTTCTCAGCTTGAATTTTGTGAGACATCTCATTCGCTGTGTGGTAGTTGACAGAAGAAAGCTTTGTGCTCGGCATTCCGGATGACGGGTGTGTTCCCAGAGCACAGAGACATCAAATCGCCGTATTTCTCCTTGCTAATTTGGTTTGGTTCTTCATTTAGTTGTTTAACGTCACAATGAATTAGGTGTGAAAGTTGGCGCTTCAGCGAAATGGACCTGTACTGCTCTTCCAGGTGACTGGGGTTTTTTTTATATTGTTGTTGGGTGGGCTTTGTTCACCCTCACTTCCATGACCTTGTTCCAGTTCACGGGAACACCTGAATCCTGATTGTCCTTGCGGACGTTGAGAACTTTCAGATCTTCTGACAGTTTTTTGTAGTTTAGAAAGTCACCGTGCTCAAGCGGGTGTACCTTGTATGGCTGTTTGCGTCGGGCCAATGCAATGATGGGAAACAGCTGTGATGGGAGAAACACATCCCCAGCATTTCCCAAGGCCGTGCTTATAGCACTGTGTGCTGAGTCACCTTCGCACTGCCCATGGAACGATTCAAAGTACCTGAGTGACAGTTCCTCCATGTGTGCTGAAGTGTTGATCATGTGGAGCATCATGGTGGGCATGATTGTGTTTTTATTTTGTCCCGGGCAGCCATCGGCGAACAAGTAGGCAGTCTTGATGCCTCTTTGGTCATATTCCCTCAGTGCCCTGCACACCGCAGTTGATATCTCTGAGCTGCCCCTTCTGCTTTGGCCTTCGTGCCAAATGAAGCAATCACATGTGTGGTCACCCAAATTATAAAACGTCAAATTGAAATTGGAAAGTCTCCTCTTGTAGAACAAAGCATCTTCATGTGAAATTGGCAAGTATATGACCTGTTGGAGATCAAAGTTCCCTGCCAGAATGCTGTGGTCAGCTTGAGCCATCTTCTTGCAATCCTCCTTAAGTTGTCGCACCTTTTGTTTTTCTGCTTCGTGCCTGTTGTAAATTTCCCTGAGTTCATTTTTCTGAGCTTCGTCCCCTTTTCGGAAAGAGTTGCAGAGTGAGCATTGGTCCTTTTTAGGACTATGAAAGGCCAGGCTTTTCGTCTTGAACACTCGTCTGTATGTATGAAAACTTGGGATGTCATTGCATGAGTTTTCTTTCACGTACATGTCGTACATTTTGGACAATGTGAGGTCTGGGCTGAGATACTCTTTGCTGGAAGAGGCCCTACAGTAGTGTGATTCCACGCGTGAAAATCTGTCAATGTGCCGACTGATTTTATCCCTGTTTTGTTCTTCTCTTGTCTTCATCTGCTCCGATTGTCTGCCCCCTCGCTTGTCTTCTTCCACAACGCCAGTCTCCGTAATCTTTGATAAAACAACTCGGACAAATTTCTCTGAAATACTCAAGGTTGCAAGGAATGTGTTTCTACACACTTTCAAGCGCTTTCCATTGACTGTGAGGTAATAAGCATGCGTTTTGCTGCGTCGAGAGTTTGGTTTCCCGACCTTGGGCTCAGTCGTCTCAATATGCCTCGCAACGAACTCTCTCTCCTTCTGCAGGTCAGCCAGTTTATAAAAGTCCTGAAATATCTCCCTCCTATCCGTTTCTGTGATTCCAGAACACTGACGGCCAGCTCTCGTACATTCCATTCCAACGCAGCCCTTTCTCATCCTTCGTGCTTGAACAACCTTTTTCGTGCCGGCGCTCACGTACTCTTCGCCAGACTGTCGCTTTCTTTTTGCATCGTTCTTCTTGTTGATTCTCTTCCGTGTCTTTGGTGACGCTTGGCGGGCTGATCCTTCAACTTCAAATAATTCTGGTAGCCGTTCGTTGCTACTCTGGGTCTCATCGGTCTCAAAATCATTGTGCGTTATGGATTCAGTGTTTGTTGATTCTGGCGCTACTGACAGGGCTCACTTTGTAGACATGTCTTCAGATCAATATAACAAAGGCAAAGTCCTGATGCTTTTATCACTTCAGTCAGTAGCGCTGCCGGGGGTGGGGGAGGGGGGTGTCTAGATAGCGTAGCCTTCTAGTTAATGAGTGTAGCATAATACGCTAAAGGAAGAACATATAGCTTAGCAATATTCATGTGAATCGTCGGACAAAAGTAGATCTTATTTAAATTTGATCAAACCCAAGTTTGCTTTTTCGAATGGTTTCCAATCGTCAGAAGGTAAGCAGGTCAGTTTGAAAGACAGGTTGTATGTGACAACAAGCCGCAAGCACCAGTAAGCAACTGGAACAACACAATAAGGCGGGTCTTGTTTTCACTCTTGCACAAGTAGGATTCGCTGCAACACAGTGCATGCGCTGTGTACAGGCCTATTGTATCATTAGAGGAGGGCCAGTATTACTATATTACGTCATACGGACTTGGCCTATGCCAGAAAAAAAAGACAAAAGTGTAACGGTCGTTCACACGAAGGGGCGTAACCAAGGTATACGTCCTTTCGTGCGAATAGATTTGATACAACTTTGTATCAATTTTTTGCACACGAAAGGGCGCAAGCCTGCGTACGCCGTTTCGTCTGATTCGGTCGCGTTGAGTGTTAGCGTACGCCCTTTTCGTTTTTTTACTGCTAGTACTGTTATTTTAAAGCTAGGTATACGCCGTTTCGTGTGAACATAGATCTGAGGCAGCGCTATCTACTAGTAGTAACAACTCAAAACTGCCAAAATCTGGAATACGCCCTTTCGTGTGACAGGCGACGGATTGTAAAGCGCGTGGAGCTTGTTGTTGAGCTGAATTTGCCCAATACAAATGCTATCTATTATGATGATTACTAGTATTACTATTATGAAGTCGTACTCACAACCTAGTCACGACCGATATATTAAAGCTGTTTCATCACAGATGTTGCTTGACTCTGTGAGCCGGAGCTGTCATACTTCTTTTGTTTAAGTAAACAGAAGCACATTGACACAATGATGGTCATTTAATGCTGGGGAAAAGTAAGACAGACTGATGGACAGATACGACAAAGGGAAAGTAAAGAAGTACGACCTGTGGGTGGTGCCCTCCTACCACCCGCGCTGTCGTATTTCTTGACCCCTACAGGTGTCTGACGATATTTTGCAATGGTCCCGCACCTGTAATTTGAAGCCAATTCCTGCCTCTGAGTGGGATGGTTGGCGAATGTTCTGGTGTTGCTTGCTCCTTCTTTCCTGTCAAACATCTGCCATCTTTATCTCTCCTCATTCTTTTCTTTGCATGTTACCCTCTTAACTAGATCTAGTAACACCTGTAATCTTTGCACTTATATGACTTATTTTTGTTGCAAAGCGCTGTAGAACTCTTTACCTAAACTCAAACTCTGCCTTGGGTTTTGTTGGTTTTTATCTTTTGTCAAGTAACAGCTGATACATTGTAGCTTCTTTTTATCACGAATTGAAACAGTGAAACAGACAAGCATTGTCAAAGCAGCCTTCATCTCATATAGTTTGAATTGTGTCGCAGGGAGCCTAATAAAACAGTAAAATTAAAGTCTGCCACAGAGTTGTTTCCGTGAAATGATAATTTGTTAGGGTAAGTTAGGGATTTTATAACTCATGACATGTAGGGTTTTTCATTACTGGTAGTCAACAAGTCCTTTACTTATTTATCATCAAATTACTTTCCTTGCTAACCAGTGCACCACAGCGTTTACGGTTATCCTGTTATATCAAAACTAATGTTATGTTATTATTATTATAATATATTGTACCTCATTTTAATGACATGTACAAAGTGGTCCATAGTACCTTTGTTTTGGTTTGAGATCTTATGTATCTATTGCCAACGTGTAAGAAATTAAAGTTATCACATTTTTTTGAGTTATCACATCATTTTGTTTTTCTGTTTCTTGTGTGGTTTGAGACATATTTCTTGTAGGTGGTTGACGGGTGCTCTGATAAGGTTTGCTCTTTCTTTCCTATCAAACATCTGTTGCGCTTATCTTTCTTTTCTCCTTTTTGTGTTTGTTACTCTCTTGAAACATCTTTAATCTTCGGCACTTATATGACCTTATTGAGCTACAAGTGCCGTAAAATTCTTTCTAAAACAAACAGTGAGACATAATATGATATCTTGAGCTCAGTTATATTTGTTGAGAGTGGTAGTTTTCCAACGAGTATCCCCTTTGAGTTGGGATGTTGTATTCCATTCAGCCCAGCCAGCTTAGTCTCTTACACACGGCAGTGTGAAAGCAGCCAGACTCCTAAATTATCTAAATTTTGTTGATGGGGGTTTAAAACACTTTCAATTACATATTACATATAGATCTATATATACTAATTTTGACTTTCTTCATCTGTCCATTCTTCTGGGACAAGGAAATACAATGTTAGGAGCGGGTGGCTGGCGTGTGCTCTAGTGTGGTTTGCTTCTTCTTTCCTATAAAACACCTATCATCTTGATTGTTTGTTAATCTTTCATTTTAAAAAACCCTCTGATCTTCGGCACTTACATTGTGTTACAAGTGTCAGCAGGAGAGCCCTTAGGAGTAATGACTTGAGCGTGGCCCGGCCAACTTACAGTGTCAGGACTTTAGGGCCGAAACTCTTGAATGAAGCGATTTCTTCCTCTGAAGATCTCCTGCTTTCCGCGCGCCTCACGAGTTTTTCTGCAACTGCTAGTGATAAGTGATGTAAAACTTACTGGAAAAAAACAACAGCAAAAAAACAAACCGGAACATTGACAGGCAATCACTATTGTTGTTGTCACTCGCCCTACGACGATCTCCATATTTGTCAAGGGAAATAAATCGGGCAAGTTTTAAAGTTTATGTCATCTCCTTGTTGCTTCCCTTCAACAACCAGTAGCTTCACTATTATCATCATTCCCCCCCCCTCTCTCTCTCTCTCTCTCTCTCTCTCTCTCTTTCTCTCTCTCTCTCTCTCTCTCTCTCTCACTTTCTCTCTCTCGATTTCACTACACCTAAGTATAAGTCAGAAGTGGGACGTGCTCGTGTGTGGTTTGCTCCTTTTCCCCCTATCAAGCATCTGTCGACATTATGATTATCTCTCCTGTTTCCTTTCGTCTTGTCCATTACACGAATTTCCCTTTTGGCTCGGTAATTTCGGAGATGAACGTCAATCTTGGAGGTCCCGCCTCGTGAACGACTTCATATCGTTGAATGGGGTTTTTAACCTATACCTTTATTTTCACCAGTGCCGTAAAGCTTTTTTACTAAAAACGAAAGTCCAGAAGCCGAAGTCCACCACCCCAACCTTCAAACCATCTTCCTCTCCCCTCAACACCTGTTATCTCACCCATTTACCCCCCCCCCCCACTCCCCACCCCCAAAGAAAAAAAAAGAATTAATTTAAATTTATTATGAGTACACACTTCTTGTAAACTTATACAATCTACTCATAGTGCGTGATACTTATTTTAAAACGAGCATTACTCCAAAAAAAAAATTATTAAAAAGTAAGTGTAGCCTATGGGTTTGACGCCCTTATCAACACTACTAAGGTAACTAATCTAGGAGGTGGGATCTCCGAATTTAACGTCCTCTCCGATAAGACCGAACTAGCCTTGAATTCAAACAAATCTAGGATTCAAACCAGGGCCAACCGCTCCGTATGCTGTTGAAAAGTCTTCCATTTGAATAGAAAACTATTACAGTTACTGCTCATGCCCGTAGAGTTTCACTTTCGTTTCAAAGCAATTTACGTCAAAACTGGAAGTCGTTTAAGCTAGCATTATTGATATGACTATAATATCTCTGGAAGCTGGCCTGTAGGGCTGGGCAATGAGTCGCTTTAGCAAAATCCGGATAATATGTTAGTGCACCCCTTCGGCAAATGGGTTAGCACTACATGTACTTCAACAAATGGGTGCACCCACTTCGTCAAACGGGTCAGGAAAGAGAGTTAAGAGTCTGAATTCGGATGATGATTCATTTAGAATTATCCGGTTATCCATATATTATCCGGATTTTGCCCACCTCTACTTAGCCTTCTCGGACAAGAGCGAAAAGTCCCGGAGGTCTTGTGTGCATGTCGTGCACGTTAAAGATTCCTTGGTGGTCCAAAACCGATAAAAATAGGCTTGGGCCGCCACCTCGGCAAAATTGAAAATTTTCTGCCAACTGAAAATGTTTAATGAATGCGTCCAGTGCGATCACAGACCTTACTATGCATTTGCGAGCGCCGAAAAACATTTACCCCCCCCCCCCCCCCCCCCCCCAAAAAAAAAAAAAAGAAAAAATAAGGAGACGATTCCTCGTCTCAGTTCTCTTTGAGATTGGTCTTATCCTGGGATGTCTGAAGTCTGCCATTATATGTAGTACTTCTTGGTCGATCTTGTCGTATCAGACTCCCCGACACATGCCCACAAATGCCCAACGTTGTTTATTCTGTGAACATTGACCCTTTGAGCCACATCTCGAAGTGTACTTCCAGCCTTGGACTATTCAAACTAATCCAACGCTCGCCATCGATCATTTTCCTACAGACGAGGCTAGTCTTGAAAGCAGACAAACAAAAGAAGGGAATCTTTAGCTCAAATTCTAATTGCTAAACACGTCGTGTATAAAAAGTTGCATTGTTAGCCTAGGGGTTCAGATTTCAGATTAGTTGAAAAAAAAAAAAAACCAAACCCATGGAGTTATGTCCTTTAAAGAGAAAGAATTTTTGGCTGAAACCTAGTGTGGTCAAAAATTCGAGACGTAACTTATCCTCAAATATCTCTTTTACGGGTGAATCAATGTCACCCATACTTTGCACAACAGTTTGTATCAACTTGTCTTAACTTAATCATATTTTCCACAACAACTGAGACCTAATTTTTTTTTAAATTTTCTTCATAAATTTATATAATACTAGATCTAAAAATCTACATCACGCGGATAATGTTCACAGCACTTCCGCTTCTCGCACACTTTTTAAGTTTTTGCATACGCATAG